ATGTTGACATCATTTTGAAATATGCATCATGTAAGATATTATCCTTAGGGCAGTAGAGTGAAGAGATATGAGGATTTATTCTTCTTATATTTATATCAATTCATCATAATTCAAAATAAAAATTTATTTTTAAATGCATATGTGACTTTGCTTTTGTTTACAGCAGGTTATATTCCAAGGCTAGATTCTCAATGATGACAACTAGACAAACTGGATAAAATATACAAAGATATTTGTTAAAAGCCACCTAAGAGCTCTTTAGAGGATGAAGAGTAACCTTAATATTGAGAAGAAAAATGTTTGGATAGGTGATTGGCTTATTATGAGAACTTTGGTCTTGTGGGCATTTTCTTGTCTAAAAGACATGGCTGATATACTAAGCCATGTTTCTGACAGCCCTGCTGTATTAAGAGGACGAAAGTTAGATTCTGGGACTAGTAGGAGGATGATTGGTAAATCCCCCACATGTTGGCTTAGACTCCAAAGACATTCCAGGAATGAGGATAACTGGAATTAAAGCAGCTGTCCCTGGGTTATAGCACAGCTTTGAGTCATCTGAGTGTCTCAGATACTTGAATCTCTAAATTGTTTTAAGAGGATCCAGATTGCCATGGGATAGCAGAAGGATCAGGATAACCTCACAAGGTGAAGAAAATATCTTCCTCCCTAKATTGGATCTACATATATTTATATAGCTTATCAAATTACAATTTCTCTTATACAAAGTGGTCAGGATAGAAAGAGATAACACAGTTTAAAAGAAAACCAGTAGATGAAACAGACAGCAAAATATACACATAAAGGAATGGTATTACCAAGCTGAAATGCTTAACAGTTGTTAAACTTGTTTTCAAGTAGATAAAAATAGAATATTGAAAATTTGAATGTCATATATAATAGAATTAAAAATTTAATATAAATATAGAATTTCAATGTAAAACTAGAAATTACAAGCTTCTATTTGAAGTGACTCAGAAATTCTAGAAACTAAAAATATGATAAATAAAATTAGAATTCTATGAATCATTTTAATATATTTCACATAACTGAGGGAGAATTTATGAACTAGAAGTATATCAGAAGAAGTACCTAGATCAAAGATAGAAGAAGACAAAAGGGTAAACAAAAGGTTCTCTACATAAACAATGGAAATCAGAAAATAACCAAATGTACCAAAATAAAAAGAGTAAAATGGAAATCAGAAAATAACCAAATGTACCAAAATAAAATAACTGCAAACCTAAAATTTATGCTTAATAAAATATTTTTCTACAATGGAGGTGAATTCTATTGTTTACTTCATGTTATATACATTATTGAAGATGAATTTGCATATTGGCCTTGAAATTTGAGATACTTAGAGTTGTTGCTGATTTCTCTGTATTTTGAGTTTACCTTCTCATTGTGACTTCTTTTTGTGGGGSTGGGGTGGATTTGCCCCTCTATACGCTTCTGTTATAGTAGTTGTACTTTCATGTTTTATTTCCTAGTCTGTACATTTGTTTCTTTAATTTTATTGTCACTTCTTTGGGAAGTTTTGAACATAAACACTTAATAATTGTATTTCAGGTGCTATCTAAAACAATATCATTTTAAAACCAAAAGTTAATGAGTGAGACTAAGATTAATTTTACAGTCATTTGTCTAGGAAATATTGTAGACAAGCATCCAAAAAAGTTTGTATTTTCAAATGTAATATGTTATCCAAAACAATGTTGCTTTAGAACACAAAGATGCCTTAGAACTGCCAGGCACAGTGGTGTAGGCCTGTAGTCCTGGCAGCTTGGAAGGCTGAGGCTGGAGGATCATGAGTTCAAAGCTAGCCTTGCCAATTTAGCAAAGCCCCAAGCAACTCAGAGAGACCCTGTCTCTAAATAAAATGCAAAAATGGGCTGGGGATATGGTTCAGCGATTAAGTCCAGAGTTCAATCCCCCATTCCAAACAAAAAGAAATTCACTGATGATTAACTGATTTGAGGTCCCAGAAAGAACCAAAAATGGTATTTTTGAACATGGAAYTTGAAATAAAGCTTAAACTTTTACTCCCATGTATGTTTTCCTATACCAAGTTATCTCAGAATTATAACTCTTCATAAGCACACTGGTTTCAGCAACAGTATGTACAACTCCTCTAAATTATTTCTGAGTTTAAGAACTATCAACAGATTTTTTTAAACCAACTTCTAGTCTTTGCTAGAGTATGAAAGAAACATTTACCAGGGAGTAGGGGACTTGGATTCTTTATTTTTTTTCCCTTCTACATATTATATTGGTACATGAGAGTTGTACATAATGGGGAGATTTGTTGTTATATATTAGTGCACATACATAGTATAACAACATAATTTGGCCAATATCACTCCCCTGGTCCCCTTCCTCTACTCTACTCTCCCTCTGCTTTATGTGATCCAGCCCCCATCCTTCTTTTCCTTTTTCCTCTCTARCAGGAGACCTGTATTCTTATTTCAGCTCTACTATCACAGGAGCTGGTCCTGGCTAATATCACCTGCCTTCTCTGAGGCTGTTTATTCTRAAAAGGAACATTCCATGAAATAAATTCTTCAAAATGAGTAGAAAGTCTAGGAGAAGTCTGAATTTAATTCATGCTCTTAAAACCTATCATTCTACTTCAAATATGCTGAATTGTTTTCTGTTTCTAACTTTAACTTCTTAATAGTCACCATCACTGAGCATTTTTTAGTGAATGTTGTTCTAAGAGTAGAAATGATATTTTGTCAATTAGAGAAATAAAGAACTAAACAGACATGTAGGTTTGTTCCACATTGGTAGGTTGATGTGGTCTAAAGGATGGAGGACCACCATTAATTTAGGGAGAGCAGGGTAAGGAGCTCTGCTTTATGTTTTTTTATCTTGCTCAACCAATTTCTGAATTGGGTCATTTTTTAAAAGAGTAAAAAATCTTAAAATATTAGATAATCATTAGACCTGAGTAAAACCTGGATCACGGAGAAGAAATAATAAAAATTCAGCTCCCACACATGTCTTCTCTCTACTCCCCTTCCAGATCCAGAAGCCAAACTGGCCAGGTCTTGGCTGCCTCTGGGCATAGAGCGGGTTGAACAGATGTTTGACTCACTACATTTGACTCCTTGTCATTTGGCAGATTGAGGTCTCTGCTGAGAGCACCATTTGGAATGTTTTTTCCCCAAAACTGGTATTTTTGAACATGGAATTTGAAATAAAGTTTAAACTCATAGAATAATATTGCCTAAAAGGAGTCTGATAGATTTATGTCAGACACCTAACTGTCCCCCAGRAGTGTTTAGGGATAGCCTGGATTGGTCTGGGTAGAAATGATAGAATATGAATGTGGTTTTTCTGAATGTGAGAATGTAACAGATGACATTACCTTCTGATGTCTTAGGAGGAAAGAATATCAGACACAAGTACAGACAGTCCCTGACTTAGGATTTTTCACTTAGGATATTTTTACTTTATGCTGGTGAAAGAATGATATTCATTTAGTAGAATGTAATTTGAATTTTGAATTTGGATCTTTTCCCAGGCTAGTGATATGGGGTTCCACCCTGTCTTGTGATGGGCAGCATCAGGAGCTACAGCTCTCAGTGAGCTCTCAGGCGAGAACAATCCATCCTCTACAATCTGCCGTGTTGTCAACACTTTTGGACATTGTGTCTTCACATCTCATTATGTCTACAAAATGTTCATCAGTGTCTCCTGTACCCAAATAACCACTCTGTTCTTCAGTTTCAGTACAGTAGTCAGTGAATTGCATGAGATCACTCAACACATAATTATAAAATGGGCCTCGTGTTAGGTCAATTTGCCCAATGGTTGGCTAATGTTCTGAACATGTTTAGGGTAGGCAAGCTAAGCCATGGTATTCAGATGTCAGATGTGTAAGGTACATTTTTACTTAGATATTTTCAACTTAGAGGTTATCAGGATGGTTACTTGAGTAGCTGTCAAGCAGGTAGGATGAAAGGAGGTTAACCATACATATTAAAGGGAGTCAGGTCAGGAAAATATAATAAAGAGGCACTAGAGAATTCAAGAATCAGTAAATCTGGGTTTGAGTATTTGAGAAGAGAATAATAATAAATATGGTAGCTATTGCTATCATTATTACTGAAATAGCAGCAGCAATGACAAAAATATTAAATGCTTATAGCACTAAATAGTTCATGCTTGTAGCACTTGGTGTACATGTCAGCACTGTTTCTATATAATCATCCATTTAATCATAATGGGAATCATATGATAAAAGTGATTGTTTATGTTCCCAATTTATGGAAGATGAAACTGACGCACAGATAACTTAAAATAACTGGAGGAAGAACACAAAACTAATAACAAGGAAGTCATGGCTTCAATCTGTAGCTTAAAATTAATGAATAAAACTAAAATTTTAGCTGCAGGATGAAAAACACTACAGGGTAGCAGAACACTTTTGATTTAAGCATACAGCCTACTTGCACATAATTGAGAACCTCAGAATCCTGCACATTAATATTCAGGATGGCCCAACCAGAGCAAAGAAACCCCACTGTAGCACTCTGTGGTGATAGCAGAAAAGCATCCACGACTCAGGATTTCTTTTATTTGGGCCCTTCATGTAGATTCCATTTCTTCACAAATCCCCCTCTTTTGTCTCCATCTTCAGACCAGAGCATACACAAATGTAAGGCTTTCTTTAAGGTCTCCAGCCTTTCTCTAATCATTATCAATCCTCACCGTCAGGAAAGTCTTTATATATAAAATTAATCACTGACTTTCCAGCTTAAACCCATTTCCTATTCTCTGATCTTTATTGGAGATAGGAGACACATGAAGGTAGTTAACATTCTAATCACCTTGGGTTTTTTTTTTCTTTTTTTATTTAATAACTCATTTAAATGTACTTCTGCTAAATCCCATTTAAAATCTCTCTGACATTAATTACTGATATATTCAAGTCTTTCTGACAGGCTTATTTTGCCATATAAAATGTACTTCAATGGTGAGTATTCTCATCTTACCTCTCCATTTTCTAAAGGGTGTATTTTGGAATAAAATGAAGTGCAGATGACCTCGTCGTCTTTGGCATAGGATGGAGGTCCAGTGCGGGGATAAATATTGTAGAGGGTCAGGCACTCTGTGTCCGTCACAGCGTGGTACTGCCAGGGTTTGTATTCGATGTCATCAAGTGAGCGTTCCAAAATCCAGTTCCCAGGCCGAGGGGAGTTAGCTGCTTTCACAATCACATAAGCAATCTGGAACACCTGGGGAAGAGTGACAGCAGCATGACTTTTCAATTCCAAAGTCTTTTCACCTTTTTTTTTTTTAATTCTCAAATATGCAGCTAACTGATGTGGGAGATTTTATTTTACTTTTATTCTATAACCCTTTTATGTTCTCTGAAATGATTTTACTATTGGATGCTCACATTTAATACCTGTTTGCTAAGAAGCGATGTTTCCTTTTGACAGCCATGACTTTAAAAGCAATGGATTAGGACTAGATTTTAGTTGTCTAACAACTCATTGGCATCATTTCACCTAACTTTTAAAGTTCCATTATGACTATTACCAATGAAAGTATTTATGGTCTGCTAATTTATTCACCCACAAAAAAATGTGTAAGAAATCCCATGTGTGACAAGTACTAGATAATCCAGGAAACATGCTTACTTGTGTCACTTAGTGCTTTAAAAAGTACTATTTTGATGGACTAAGATAATACAGAAAAAAAAATGAGCTTTGGAGGCACCCTCATGTGTTCAAATTGTAGCCCCACCATTTATGTGAACCTGGGAAGATTTCCAACTCTTGGCTTCCTTTTCTGTGAATTAAAGTCTAGAATAAGCACACCAGGAAGAGACAGTTTGGATTAAATGAGATAATGTATGTAAAGTATCTGGCAAAGAACTTAGCAGAAATACTCAAGCAATGTAAATTCCTCTATATTCCCAAATATTAAAAAAATGGAGAGAAAATTTCAGTGACATGCAGACAATTGACTGAAGTTGAAACATATTAAATGAAAGATTTTGAAACCTTCTCTTTATAAGAGGTAAAAATATTAAAAATGGAGAAATAAAGGAAATGGCATTKTTACTATAAATCAACAGTGACAATTGAGAGGAATGTAACAATCCTCTATTTTCAAATTCACATGGAAGATGCAAAATAGATCTGAAAATAAATATTCTGAGTGTTTTAGGATAGTATATACATGTGTTTTTACAAATAAAGTCAATAATTCCAAAAGTGTAATATATAAACACTATTGAATGATATTTTATGCAATGTTCAAGATAGAAATATACATACAAACTACTTTAAAACTGTGTTGAAAATATAAGGTAATAATGAGACATGGAAATTACAATACTAATAAAAAAATACGATACATTCTTGGTTGGTAAATGCTATAAGATGTGGGAAGCTTGACAACTTTAAGCTCTGGGTGATCAGGACCACTAGTGGGGTACAATTAGAAGAACAGGCCCACTACAATGTGGTAAAAGGCCTGCTGTGCCACAGAGGGAATCTTAAAAGAATGTTCTAGAAATAAACTCTATCTGCTTTATTGTTTTGACAGGAGGCCTTCATAAATTCATATATAATATCTATGGTATACATGAAGAGATTGAATTAAAAAATATGAAAAGTTGATACAGAAAGGTAAGTTCAGGCGACTCAGATACCAGTGCTTGAGAACTTTACTAGATATGAGCATACTTTGTACAAGTGAGGGGAAAATCATAAGCCTCAAGTGATGGCAGTTGGATCTGGTATTCAACTTTTAGGTTCAGTTAGGATAACCCTGGATGGCTAAAATACTGATATGTTTTTGTGTTTGTTGGTAAATCACTGCTGTACAATCAACCTCCTAAACACCACCCCTTCCCTGAGACTAGTTGATTATTCCCAGCAGAGTAAGGAACAGTCAAAACATCCATTGTCATTGGTGTGGAAATTGACCATTACTGACTCTCACTATAGGCAGTGAATACTGATGTGTTTATATTACAAAGGTACACATGTCAATATAATTGCAGATATATATATATATATATATATATATATATATATATATATATCATAATAAGCATGCCTATAAGTACTTGAAAACTGCTTAAACATTTATGGCAAGGCTACACATAAGCATACTAAAGCTGGCATCTCTGGAGATTCAGAAAGAGGAGTCAAGGAAAGGAAATAGAACAATTTTAAAATTTTATCCCAATATCCTGCTACATTATTTTTATTAACACAAATGTCTTTTAATAAAAGTAATTTAAAATAAAGAAAACTTCCAATACAAATTACCAGAGAAAGGACAAAATTAGGAATAAGATGAAACGTACTCTCTCACCTATTAACTAATTATTTACAGCTTTTGAATTTTTGAGGTATTGTTCATAAAAATTTCCTTTAGATAGTTCTTTTTTGGGGAGTGGGGATGTACTGGGGATTGATCTCAGGGGTGCTCAACCAGTGAAACACAACGCCAGCTCCATTTTTAAATTTTATTTAGAGACAGGGTCTCACTGAGTTGCTTAGCGCCTCGCTGTTGCTGCAGCTGGCTCTGAACTCGTGACCCTCTTGTCTCAGCCTCCCAAATATTTCAGATAGTTCTTATTAAACAACTCATCTCATGGAACTTCCTTGAAAGAAAATTCACTGAGAAGCATACCAACTGATTTATTCTACAAATGCAAAGGCAAGATTGCGTCCAGTATAAAATATGAAAGTCTGGTCCTAATTTTTGGTAATGCCAAAGTATTTCTGGCAGGATCTTAAAACCATAAGGTCAATACTAAATTTTGAGTGTTTAGAGGTAAAGAGCTACAGATTTTACATTTTTTAAAGATGCTACAAACCTTATTACAGTTCTTTTGAAATTCTAGGGATTCACTATTAATTAGATTTAGCCAAATAACCAAAATCTAGGTAACATAATTCCACATTGCTGCTATAAGCTCAGACTGGCCATTTCTCTTAGAACTGATGTCACAATCAACACTATTATATTTTGTGAACTGCAGGAACTAAGGCATACTTCTCTTTGGTGTTCATCTTATGATATACCTATGAGTTGAGAAAATTACTTAAATTATTTTACTCTTTATTTCCCAGTTTCTCTCCTCTACAGTCAAACCACAGAAGTGATAATGAACTGCATGTTCTTTGGAAGACAGAAGCTGGATGAATATTTTAAGTTAGCATCTTTCCTTCTAGGAGAAGAAACTTCACAGAGATATTTTTAAAARATGAAAAACAACTGAGATTACAAAGCATATTGGAGACCAAAGGTACTCAATAAGAAAAATAAGGATACACTGAGGTCATGGATAAAGAACATGCTTTAGAAAGCAGCTCAGCAAGTAAATATAGAAAGAGGCCAAATTTTCTTGGAGCTATAATATGGATATACAATTTTGGAATTTCTGTGTTGGCTCTGGAATAATACATGCAAAATAATCCATGAAAAAAGTTCTAGAAGAAACCCCACAGAATCCTTCTATTATTCAATATAACAGCCAGAATTAAATGACATGGAAAAGCAGTCACTGCCTTTGAAAATATTAAAGGAGTCCTATTTCAAAACAATATCCTTCTTTCATTTATTTTCAATGAATTCTTTCACATCCCATGCAAAATTAATTAAATTTGTTGGCATGTAGTATTATGAATAAACTTTTTAAAGTGTCATAAATAGTATTATTGAAAAACACAATGAATAGAAGTATTCTTTAAAGGCTTCAGAGAATGACTGTGAAAATTTTAACAGTGGTTTACTAAGTACTGCAAATTTTCAATGGTCCTTAACAGAATAGCTCTTTAATGTTATCTATGCTACTTTTATTAACTATCTCTTGTGTTTTCAGCATAAAAACTCTTCAAAATCAGCAGCTTTAATACCTGATTTTCAAATGAATATATCCCTAATCTATTTGGTGTGCAACAAGGAAAGAAAACACCCACATTAAAAGATGTACTAAGCCTCATACACTTCAATGAATCAAATTTATCAAATGTGATGATACAGAAATGTTTTTCTGATGGAAGTCACATTTACAAATTTTGTGCCTGAAAAAAATCTAAAATAACTCTGAAATTAATACCAAATATCTAAAATTTTAGTGCAGCAAAGAAAACTCACCATTTCCTATTCCATGTGTTGATCATTTGCTTGCCACCTAACAAACWATCGTGTGATTACTTCATCTGACAAAGCATGGAATTAGATGTTACTTTGATAATTAGTAGAGTGTTAAGAACTTGATCTTGTTGAATGCGGATTTGGAGAATAGGGTCTTTCTAAAGAGTATTTCAGTCCCAAAATAAAAGTAACAAATCACAACCAATAGAGTGATGGTTTCCAAACATTTTCACATTGTGCCTAAGATAAAATTACATTTGCACAGCACTGTGTTGAACAGAGTCTCACTGCCTGAAATAAGTTACCTGGGATCTCTGAGCACTCTGGATGCTGCCCTAGGGCTGAATATCTTAGCTCATCTATAATCCATATAGATAAGCCTAATTCAGAACCAATTTCTAGCATTCACATTACTGGGTGGGTATGCATTAAAAAAAGTTTTTTGCTAAGATTAATCACAGATCTAGAAAAATGCTACCAAAGACTATTGTGTTTAGGACATTTACTGAGACTTTTGAGTGTCACTGGCACACAGAAGAGCCAGGATAAAGTGTAATGATGTAACAAGGGCAGAGGTCCTCTAATTTCCTATAGGCTTGTTCCCATGAAAGCCATAAAACATTAATGACAGCTACTGTCTATGGAAGATGGCACTTCTGCCTTCTCCTAGGACCTGATTTACTTTCTTCTGTGTCTTCTTTCCTAATCTCAGGAGAGCAGTGTGTGGCTATTTAATTTCTACCCAATGTTAAGCTCTGCACCACTGCCCACGCAGCTGTCAAATGGCTGTGAATCTTAGAGTAAATGGATGTCCACAAAATAAAACTGTTTAATGTTGAAGGAGGTTCTACAATATTGTACTACCAGCCTTGTTAAGGATTTTAACATTTCCATCAATTTTGATGTCATCTCAAATACATTTTGAAAGCTTATTCTTGCTTTAATAGTATATTTGTCAAATTCTCTTATTTATCATATTTATCATATATATATATATACATATATATATATATATATGAGAATTACCCAATGTAAGAGTCAGAATGGATGATAGAAAACATGAATTGTCAAGCTTAGCTCCCATTGGAATAATCTGGGAAGCTTTGTAGAG